TGCATACGATAAAACAGATATTGAAGAAATGGAAAAATCCTTAAATAGATACATACATATGTACATATGTCAGTACGTAGGTACAATCTTTGGAAAACGTTGAAGACGATAAATGAAAAATAAAATCGTATATAACACTTGAGCTATAAACTGTAAAAGTTAATTAACGAATATGCTGGAAGCTCCTTTGACTGCCCCCAATAAAGTTTCGGTTTGGTATTTAGGCCGTAGATAAATTTTCAAAACTAAAGCAATTCAATAACTGAATAACTCAGTGAGAGGGAAGACCAGGGTGTTTTCAAAAAAACTCCAGACGAATTGTCTGAAGGATGCGTCAAGCTAGATCAAGTATGCTGTAAGGTGCCATTAAGTTATTACATACTTTAATAAGTCATATGTAAGTATAACTTGAGAAGTACATATGCAAAAATTTCATAAATCGCATAAAGGAAATACATATTTGCACATGCAGCTTAATATGCGGCTTGATCGAGGTTGTGGTATGCATTTAGGGGCTAGCTGTTAGTAGTCGCCTAAATAATAGCAGTATGCTAGCAGACACAAAACACTCTTATTAGTAATTTTATAGGCTGCTCTGTTCTTTCTTGATTCTAGATTAGATGATATCAACGACTTCAGTACACACATAGTACATACGTGAGGAATCACTTAATGCCAGCTCGCTATCCTTGCAGTCCATCGTTTCAAGAAAGTGAAATCTTGATATTTTAACTTGACGCTTAAATTAAGCAGCCATTCAGATATACCTATAGGAGTTTTAAACCTCAAAGATTACCTGTTTCCTTCGCCGCTAGGCTGCAATTTCTTAGAAATTCGAATGTACATCCTTTGAACGAAGCATGGAAAGCCTTTGGGCTGAACAGGTTCAGTTAGGTCTCATGTTTTGCGAGAGTTTAAGCTCTTTGTCGTCCCTTTAGTGAATTTCAATAGATACTTTGGCGATTCCTGTTTGCAGGCTTTTTAGCTAGACTTCACTAAGTAGTGCGAGTCTTTGTTATTCACAGTTCCCTCGAGATAGTAGTCGACTTTTAACCTACCGCTAAATCTAGTTTGAGTCTTGAGTCTTGGTAGTAAAAATTTGTGTGTCCATAGTCTTAGCAATATTGTAGCACTTTGTAAGCTTCTACATCCTGTCTTTCTGGTGTTACAAGGAAAGATCATGGCCGTTTGATTTTCTGCAGATAATTGGTATGTTGTCGCTAGAGAGGCATCTAGCACTTAATATTTGGCTAGCTCGTCGCTTCTTTCGTTATCTTCAGCATTTTATGTCCTTCTTATTGACTTTGTTTCTTTCCTATTGCCTTCAAACAATTTATGAAGCAATTTATCTACGAGTAGGTATTATATGAAAGCAAAGCCTTAAGGGCTGCCTGACTAGTCAATATAAATATTTATTCGCTGCAAAATATCTGCCGCTTTTCTTGTTGCCTAAATTTTATCTTCAAAGTCTGGCAGCTTTGAGGATCTGTAAATTTCCGGTTCAGAGCAGTAAACCATAACCCATACTCCTGCGTCCATTTTGGAACCGTCACTGTAAACCTGCCCGAAATCATCTAGCACCTCCGCACACTTACGCCAACCACAAGTCTCTATTATAGCTCCAAAATACCTTTCGAAGATCAGGTCCGGGATCGCACAGAAGGATGGCGCTATGATCATACGTCCTGAATCCAAGTTGAAAACGGATCTCACAGACTCATGCTAAACAATATAGGAAATCTTAGCAAGCCTGGGTAAAGAATGATTTGTAAAAGTAGATATTTCTAACATCTGACCATCTGAGATGAGTTTTAGAGAATTCTGTCATACCTAGGAAAGCCTCAAGAAAATAAGATGAAAGTACCAATAAAACCAGGGCTGCAAACCGGTTTCGAACCGAGCCGGTTTTTGACCCGAACCGTCGCTTTTTTTCGGGCTTCGAACCGAACCATGAACCGAACCATTTATATTTCGAAATGCTAAAACCGTACCGAAAACCACACCCAAAAAATGGTTCGGTTCAAAATCCACTAAAGCATTTTTCAAGTTTTATTACACACAGCTTTGTCTAAAAATGCAACCCTATGGTAAAACTGTAAACATTTTTGAGTTTAATAGCCCATATAAAAAATGCTTGAAATGTTTTTGTCTACTTGACTAGACGCACGACTTGTCCAAACTTTAAATAAATTTATTCAAATTTTTCTAATTTCACATTGATTGCGTTAATTTTAAATAATTTTTTTTTAGTGTATTACTAATTTTTTTCATACAAACAACTTGTTGAAAAAACATGTATGGAGGAAAATCCATGAAAAACATTGCCAAAAATCAATTTAAAACTTAAAATTTTTTCTAGAAATTCTTATTAAAAAGTTTTCAAGTTAGATGAAACTTTGAAGAATTTTCATAATTTTTGCCCAAACTTTTAAACTTGGATCTATTCGGTTTTTATTAGAAGATGCACTAAACTTAAAACAATAAACATTAAATTTAAAAAAAAGCCAAACTTTTATTTTTCCACCATTTTTTCCTTTTTATATTTTTTTTGATATTTGAATTTGATCTTAAATCTCAATAACAAGGCCTTTTATTTTTATATACGTAGATTTACCATATTTTTGTAATATTTGCATCCTTTAGCATTAAATGAATGAACCATTTGAACCGAACCGAACCGCGGTTCAGAAATACTCATGAATCGGTACAAGCTTTTTCTAATTGGTTCGAACCACTGAACCGAACCGCCCTATTTTTTGGAGTGGTTTGCAGCTCTGAATAAAA